TTATTGTTCCTTCAATATTTAAATATTTGACCCAAATAAAATTGAAATTTACTATATATATCACGTTAGTCCCTAACTTTTCAAAATATTAAAAATATAGCATAAAAAAATAAATTCTACTCTGAAAATTTTCGGGACTTCACACATCGACCTCTGAATTTGTTCACACGCCCTATCTATAATAGCGTCAAAGGTTTGTCATTTATTCCGCCCCGCCACTAAGGGGACCGCTAATTAAGTTTCCCATTTAGTTGAGAACCCCATTCTTTCCAACACCCAATACAAAGTCACAAACTCCAATCTACGAATCATATGCCTTGCTTATATCCAATTTAAGGGCCATGAAGCTCTTATTCCTATTAGTTTATATTTCCTTTTTCTTTTTCTTTTTTTAACCTAAATTGGGTTGGATTTTTATTTTTTTAAAATATTAGTTTCTTTATTCTAGGCACTTTTATTTGAAAAATATCATTTCATTTATTTCACGTGATTTTTTATCTTGTTTCCATCTTTGTGATATTTCTAGAGTTTAGCATGTACCCTATAAATACTAGATTCTTTTCATAAGTTTTGCATTACTGAAATATAGAATAATTGTAGACACAGTTATTGAATTTGTTCTCTCCATATTAATCAATTGAATAAAATAATTCGTTCTTCTATCAATTAATTATTTGTCTTTTATCTTATTGTCTGTTTGTGATCTATACTTCATATCGTGTCATATTTATTACTTGGGTCCGTTTTATTTCCCAACAAGTAGTATCAGAGCTATTATTTGTGATTTGTTCAAGATTTTTATTATTGATGATAATCATGAAGTATGAAATTTCGCTCTTGGATTGGAATACAAGATTCTCATTGTGGCAAGTGAAGATACAAGCTGTACTCCTGCAGATGAATTTGAATGATGCATTTTGGGATTTAACAAAATGCCCACAAGTTGGACAACGGAAGAGAAACAACATAAGGATCGAAGGCACTTTCACAAATCCATCTTCATCTCTCTAACAATTTACTTCAGGATGTTTTGATGGAGAAAATGACAACTGCATTTTGGTTAAAGCTTGAGCAATTGTACATGATTGCAAGTTTAACAAGCAAATTGCTGAGTAGAGGTTGTATTCTCATCTCACGGCAGAAGGCAGATCTTTGAAAGATCATTTGGCTATGTTCAAAGAGATCATCCCTGATTTGGAGACTTTTTAGGTAAAGTATGATGAAAAATATTTGGCCTTAATCCTTTTGTGTTCACTGCTCGCTTCGTTTTCTTTGTTTGGAGACACGATCTTGTGTAGTCGTGATACTTTCACCAATGAAGTGCTATGATACCTTGTTTTTAAAAGAGAAGATGAAGTATTTGGTTGATCTAAGGCCGGATATGGGGAAGACCTTGTTATTCATGGTGATCGGAGAAGGATAAGTCGGGGTCCAATATTAGTAATCAGATTTGTTATTATTACAAGAAGAAATACCACATTGAGATGGACTGAGACAAATTCATAACAAAGGTAATTTGACTACAAATCATGTAAAGCAATCAAATACTTCAGATAAGACTTATATATCGAGAGCTATTTTAGTCATGGAGATGCTTTGATGATTTTTGATATAGAATACAAACCTAACGAGGGGTAGGCTATGGATACAACTTGCACGTTCCATATGTCCCCCAATCGAGATTTTTTTGAAACATATGAAACAGTGATGCAAGGTGTCGTTGTCATGGATAACAATGAACCTTGTTAAATAGCTGGTATGGATAGAGTTAGATTGAAGCAAGTGGATGAAATATATAGAACACTTAACCGTTCGACTTAAGAATGATCTCATTTCGTTGAGTACTTTTGATTCAAAATGGTATACCTTCTCTGGAGGAGGTGGAGTCTTGAGGGTTCGGAAGTGTGTTAATATTCTATTGGAAGGGCAGAAGAGGTCCCAATTATATATCTTGCAAGGTCGGACAAAATTTGTGAAGAAAAGTCAGCATAGATTTATTACTGTGGTGGAGATTCGATTTTGTACTACACCTTTGAAATTTTGTTTGAGATCCATATTGAAAAATACTACTCAGATGAGTTTAGAAGATATGGATAATTCCATTTTGCCACCATTACTTGCGATCGTATTCAATTGTTATGGATACACCTATTAGAGATATGTACGTGAATGCTGATTTAGTTGTACACGTTTTTAACATTTTTGAAGACGTTGAAACTAGGTAAGGGACCTTCTATGAAAGCATTGAGAGTTGATTTTGCTACAGTGTTTTGGCACTGTTTGATAATTTTCAATGTTTTAAAAACTGGACCGGAACCGGTCAAATATCCAATTCGATTAAGGCTTAAAACTCGTTTAACTAAAAACCAGGAAAAAATCATTCTATTTATCCGGTTTAATGACTAACCGGTGACCCGAAACCAATTTATCCAGTTTTGTCGGTTTTTTATTGTATAATCATAAACTATAAACTCGAACTTTCAACCTAGTAATTGATAGGCCCGAAAAGTCGAACATGTATTTGTTGGCCCATCTATTTATAGGACACCATTCTAGTGCTTTAGTAAAAGGATTCCAATGTGGGATCAATTCCTTTGGCCGTGGAACACCGAACACTTGTGTGTATATATAATGGATTTCAATGTGGGATCTTTCGTGTTACTGTTCATATACATTTTGGGGGTGTTTGAGAGTAATTTTTCATCCCAAAAAATTGATTTTTTGACCGTTATTTCACTATTTCAACCGTAATTTTTGACTTCTTCTCTTACAAGTGGTTCCCACTTTTCTCTTAACAGTCAAAAATCAATTCTCAAAATCTCTACCTAACAGAACCTTTATAGTTAATTAATTTTTTTTTTCTTTACCTTGCCTTGATTATTAAAAAAATTAAAATTCTTCTAACATTAATTAGCAGTATTTTCTATTATCCAATCTTATTTTAGTGTTCAAAATCTTTTATTTATCTTTACTTTTAAATTGAGGTGATGGTTGATGTGAAACTTTAAATTTTCATGTTATTTAGCTATTGACATTATTGTTTACTTTACGTTATTGATTTATAAGTTATCTTAAATTATATAATTGAATTGAGTAGCACTTAGACTTACTTGATTGTAATTAATTGGTTTTGTGATTTGATATAAATATTTACTTTTCATTCTTTATAAATGTATATATATATTTTTTTATTTTATAAAAGTCTCCGGTTCGACCCCGGTTCAACCTTCTGATCCTTGACCCTTCCTTTTTTTCGAGTAGATGATCAGTCCGATTTTTAAAACATTGATAATTTCTAATTTTTTGTGAATTTTGGGAAATCCTGTTTTTGGGTCCATGTATTCGTGTTAGATACAATGGAAGATGATGAGTATTTTTGTATTGGAAAAAATTTGGTACTTATTGAAGAGTTCTGATTTTATCGTTCCCACTCCCCACTCCCCACGCCACCCCACCCCACCCATGTGTAGCAACTCAAAGGTCGCAGCAATAACGTTGTCACCTCCTACTTCAAACACGTCAGCCATTGAACCGGTCCACAAAATGTGTTTTACAACGAACTTGGAGTATTAGGAATTATTTTTTTTTTTTATAAAGAGGAAATTATTTTTTATTTTCATCTGATTATCGTGTGTGTATTAAAAAATACAGACAAATGAATTCATAATATCACGTTTTCATGTGGAAGGAATAGAATAAATCTCCCCAAATAAGTAGTCATCCCTCGAGCCCTCAACCAACTCCTCCGCTGGATCTAAACTCCTAAAGAAATTTCCAAATCAGTCCTCCAAAACTCTCACAATACCCATCTCCCTCAACATCTAAGAGAGAACAATTTTGTTTTTCTTCCTCCTATTATATGACATTTTTGTAATGTTCAAAGGTCAAAGATGTCTCTATATAATAATTAAATACCTTACTTTGAATTATAAATTACACTGTGGAAAATTTGCAACTTTATTGAATGCATTCATATTACGATAACAAAACATTGCTCATCATATGTGAATCAATTGTACCATAAAATCGTCAAAACAATCAAACATACATTTAATTGTATAACTAACCATTTATGAGCAAGAAAACAAATAGAGAATTCCGCGTGTTTTAAAAATATTACTAATCTTCTCTGTTTTTATATTTTGTGTCACAGACGCCCCTAACCATTTTTTGAACTCTATCACATCTATAATGGAATTAATATACCTAAAATGTCATTGTGAAGAAAGCGATATTTTTAACTATTAATTACAATTTTATTTGTTTGCTTTAATAATTAATTAATACTTAAATATTTTATGCAAAAAAATCTAAAATATGCTAGTGGGTTTAAATTTAACTTTGTTGAAGATTTTGAAAATAAATTATTTAAACTTATTATTTAATTATGTATATAATATGTGTACATGATTTAAGTACTAACAAATAAAAATCACATCTATAAATTTAAATTATAATAAGATATTAAATATAAAACATGTATTTTCAAATTAAAGTAAAATTTATTTTCTATAAAATACTATACACCTTCAAAAATAGATAATAATCATGATATATAGTAAAATAGTATGTTAGAATACATATTAATCATTGCAATATTTCAAAATTTATTAGATAATAATCAGGATAATAGAAATCGCAATCGCAGAAAAAACAACAATATAATATGATTATAATTCGTAAAGACATTTTCGGTATATTAATCTCATTTTAAATGACTCAAAAAATGATCAAGAGACATGTGTGATATCAAAATTAGAATTGGGGAATGTTAATGATATTTTTGAATAGATCAAATTTCTAAATATTGTCTCAAACAAATAAGACAAATCTCAACAAGGAAAAAAAAGCAATAAGTAAAAAGGTAAATTGCCAAATGCCAAATTCTAAATAATCCTAGTTTAAGACAAAATTCATAGATTAGGTACTCTATTCACCATCAAACATTACCATGTAGACGGCTGATCCGTTTAAGAGTCCTTTTCAAACATGTACACCTTTATCATGTTTGGCCTGGACAGTGGGTCCAGCGTTCAATAATCCGTGGCCGAATATACCTTTCTCTGCTCCGCAAAATCCTATTTTTCCATGTTCCCAGTAACATAATAATCCCAGGATTGCTCGTGTGATCTTAACTTCTAGTCTGTTTCTCTCTCGAAACCTACAGTATGGAAGTAGTCGAGTTTGTGCTATTGGGGATTGTTGCTTTTTCTGCGATTGTGGTTTCGATTATCCACTGGGTTGAAGTACTTGATGAGAAGGTGAAAAAAATTGGTAATGAACAAAGTCCTACAAAAGAGGTGGAAATTCATGGTTCTGTAAGCAACAAAAGAGTTGGGTCGGTTGTTACAGAATCTTTGCAACAAGAACATAATAGAAGTGTCGGCGGCGGCGGTAATTGTGAGGTTGAAACCCCTGAGATTTCTGCGGGGGAAAGGTCCCTACAAATCGAAGAACCAGTACAACAAGTTACAAATTGTTCCGACAAAGTTGGGGTTTCGGAGATTACAACTGAAGACAGTAAGATCAAAGGGAACGAGATTCATACTCCGAGGAATAATAATGAAGAGGAAGAGAGATTCCTTGATGATTGGGAGGGGGTAGAGAGAACAGAATTGGAGAAGAGATTTGGTGATGCAGTGGTTTTTGTTGGTTCTAAAAATAATGCCGTTCGAATTGACCATGATTTGAAGCTGCAATTATATGGTCTTCATAAGATTGCTCTTGAAGGGCCTTGTCGTGCACCACAGCCAATGTCATTGAAGGTTTCTGCTCGCGCAAAGTGGTAGACTAAACTTTCTTTATGATCTTAATTATTGATTTTAGTTTTTAGAGTTGATTTTTTGGTTATTGGAAATGTTGTTGTGGGTATACATGCCTGCAACTGAAGTAAGAAAGCTGTTCTTGGAGAATTAATGGGAATACAGATTTTAACTTAATTTTGTAGGGTTCTGCATTGGAGAGAGTAACTTTTAGAAGCACATTAGAAATTAGATTTTTGTAGAATTGGAATTTTTAAGGACTTACAGACTTCATAGAGATAATTGTTACGAAAACTGGAGTTCGACTTGTCGGTGGAACATTTCTTACTTTTGAGAAATTTGGGGAACGGAAAGATAAAGAGTATTTGTGCTTGATTGTTCTTGCCTAGAATGTGATATTTAAGGTTGTTGACTGCTGGTTTTTTCACTTAGTAAAGTGTTGTAGCATTGAACCAGAATAGTTGTTCTTGTGATTAATGGACTATACTGTCACAGGAATGCTTGGCAGAGTTTAGGAAACATGAATCGGGAGTTGGCAATGGAGCAGTACGTTATGCTTCTTTCAAGGTCGATTCCTGGATGGAAGGTAGACGAGATTTTCATTTTCATTTTCATTTTAAGCAAACGATTATATTATAATTTCTACATTGTGGAAAATATTTAACTTTGTTTGCTGACACAGGGCGAAGGAAGAACACCTGCTTCTCAAGATGCAGGAACTTCTGATGATCTCGCTTCCCATGGCCAAAATAACTATGAAGAATAGTAAGTCTTTTTAAGTATCCCTCGTTTTTGTTTTGACTAGTGACGTTAAGATTTCAACTTGTGGATTAGTCATCAGAATCGTCGCACAAAATTAGGTAACCTTGCGCCCCTTCTTCTCATAAATTAAAACCGAGCTCTCTATCACAGAGAGATTGTTTCTGCTTTAATGGTTCTGCAATTTTGGCCTGCTTAAATACTGGTAATCTTGCACAGATGGTGCAGGCATGATCCAAGGAACCACCCCATCTTAAATTCTTAATACATATTAGAGACTAGACACATCTACTGACCGGAAAATTTGTTATAATAGATCGATCATTGCTCTCCAGTTCTGTTTTCTGTTGTTCTGAAATAGAAAGATTAGTTTTTGGCATCATTTCAAGACTTCCTCTTGTGCTTTGTGTGGCGTTAGCAAATTTCTGCTTCTTGACAGCAAGGAGTTATTAAAGTAGTCGAGGTTAAGAGGAAATTCCACTGTTTTGCAGGTTGCTCGAAGCATAATATGCTGGTTGCTGTCGACTTGACAGTGTTGTTTAAAGATTCAAGCTTGGGTACTAGGATTTAATACGATAATGAATGTAAATGTATATGCTCCTGAAGTCTGACATTCTATATTATTACTATTAGGATTAGATTAGTATTCAGATTTTTTTCTTTCTCCAGAAAGAAGGATTCATTTCGGATCCCAATTATTGCATTAGAGTTGATAGTTTTCCCATTTTGCCCTGGTTTGAAATTGAAATGTGCGATTTGTCCATCCAAATAGGAGTTGAGTAAATGTTTGGTCGGCGGCAAACATTTAATCAATGCGTGCGTGATTGAAATGGTACTTCCATGCAACCAAGTGTCGCAAAGAAGAGAATTTTTGAAAATTTATGTGCGAGTGAATAGAGACAATTGTCCTTAAAAATTTTCTATTTTCTAAGGAGGCATCAAAATGGAACATGCTACACTGATCGAGAGGCTTTGACAGCTTACCTGACTGTCACTCACAATAGGGGACGGCCACACTTTTTTTTTTCAACTTTTTTTTATTCATGCGGATCCCACGTATGTGAGAGGCAGTTATACCTTCTGTCACAAATTTTCTATCATTTTAGCTTAATTCTATCAAAATTAGGAGTAACTATCAAATATATATAAGACCGAGTAGGTCTTTTTTCATTTTTGTTAATTAAATAACATTTGTAAATAAATTAAAATATTGTATGAAAAATTTCAATTGGATTATTCATTATCCACCAAACGTAATATAAAATTTCACTATCAGGAGTCATCATTCGGTAGTCACGCATATATATAATATACATATTGCAACGTTTAAAGAATTTCATAATTAGATTCAAGTTCCTGTAATTAAGTTCAGAATTAGAATAAATTAGCTTCTTTGTCTTCTGTTTGATTGGAGAAATGAGTAGGTCAAAGCTCCTATCAACTACAACATTAGATTGCATGTTTCAAATTGATTTTATTTCTACTTCAACTAATTTTATTATTATTTTTTTGGCTTTCTCGTTGACTAAGGTTTGAAAATGTCATTATGAATACTTAGAGCCCAAATTCACCAACTTTACTCCGTTAACAGTTATGCTCTTTCTTCATAAAAAGTAGCCAAACGAAGCCCCCGTTTGGCCCCCATTAATTTATATTACATTACATTACATTTTTTTCTCTTCTATTTTCTGCCACACAATCTTCCATAAAATAATATTACACGTAAATCGAAAATTTTTCTTTCTTTTTCAACTATTTATTTTTCAAAAAAATATTATTCCTCCAACTTTCAACTCTACAAAATGGGGGCCAAACGGGGGCTAAATCAGGAGTAATGTTATTCATCATCATTGGTGTTAAGCACCAATCTAAGTTATCGTTACATTGCATTAAATGATAAGCTCATTTAATTGCAAAGTCATATAATTCATTTAATTGAACATATAAAGTGTTTCCACTTGTATTGATGCTGCAGTGCATAATGTTATTCTTTATAAAATTCTTTTTTTTTTTCTAAAAATTATTTTTAACTATATATCCACACGATAAAATATTTTACATGTAAATTGAAAAATTTTATTCATACTTTTTAACCACACGTTCTCCAAAAAATTACCATTCCAAACTCATTTTTCCAAAATAAAAAATAAAAACCTCATTAATATCGATATCAAACATGTAATAAGCAAACTCTCAAGATCAAACTCAAGCATTAATTTCAACAACATATTCATAATTACTATTATAGATATATATTTTTTCACTTATTTTGTGAGACCAATTATCATTTTTATTTTATAAATTTGCCAAACGTAAATCATTTACTGACATTCAAATATTATTTCTACTATAATTTTTCTGATTCACTTCTGTAGGCTTTTAGCAAAGACTGGCAATGGGTCGGGTTTTGTCGATTTTGGGTCTAATCCAACACTGAAAAGTGTCTAAGTCAATCTGGGGGCAATTGGGGCCCAAACCAACCCAATCTCATTGCAGAAACTAAACCAAACCAGTTAAGTTTCATCTTGGGTCCAAATTAGTTAAGAAAACTATTTATCGAATCATGTATACATTTGACGAGTTAGTAGTCAAATCAGTTTGCTGGTCAAATCTTGAATTTGCAGGACAAATCTCAAGTTTCATGTTAGAAAATTGAGCAAACTCGATATTTAATATCATCAAGTTTATTGTAGAAGTCTCGAGTTTGCGAGCTACAAAAGTATAAAAATTACATGTGGGCTAGGTTGAAATTGGGTCGGTTGTGTTAACCGTAACACAACCCAATTCGACCCTACCCGACCCGATCCAACTCGGTTTGGGTTACATGCTAACCTACTCAAACCATGTAGTTTGTGAAAATCGATCCAAACCAATCTGAGTCAATTTGGATCGAGTCGATTTATCGATGGACTTTTTAATCCAACCCTACTTGTAGCAACACCTTTTTAAATACAAATTTAATTCTATAACTCAGTGATCTTTATATTGGGGAAAGCTTAAATAAACTTGGCTAAAGTTGGATTATCAACATTTATATTCCTATCCCTTCAATTTTGACAATTGAATCCTTATGTCGATCTTTCTTTGAACACATTTGATGAAATATACAATTTTTTAACTATGTATTTATTAACTTTATTAAAATGTGTTTAAACTTTTACAAAAAAATTTGTCAAACAACCCTCGATTAAGTACAATTGTACAAAAATTGAATCTGACCTTGTGATACAATTCATTGTTAGTAGTATTGCGTTATACTTCCAGCCCATATGATTATGATTCAGCTCTCAAATTCTTGCTAGCATTTAATTTTGCCTCAGTTCTCCGACAAATCACTCATCCATCAAAATAATTTGATTTTGTAACTTTTTACAATGATTTCAATCTGGGTTTTCGAGATCTGAACCATTAAAATCTACGCTGAATTCTCTTCCGTTCAACAATGGGAGTCGTAATCGAAACTGAAGTATGGGAACCGAGCAGAGCACTGTACATCTTCATGTTCATATGTTGCTTCCTTTCAATCTTTTGTTTGCCCAACAAAAGTATCCCAAATGTGTTTGATCACGCGCCCTCCTCTTCTCTCCTTCGCTTCCAGCGAACCTTTCTTCTCTTCTATTCACTATCCTCAGGTCATTCATTCTTCTTCTTTCCTTGTTTCTTTATTTTTTTTCTCTTTTTTATTAATTAATATCTTAGATATAGTTAACTTATTATTATTATTATTATTATTATTATTATTATTATTATCTGTATGCAGTGATTGAAGGGTTATGGGCTGTGTTTGGGGAGTACGAATGGGCATATTACGGTGTGAGTAAAGAGCAAATGGTGATGTCGTTATGTGTTGGATATGGGGTCTCTCTATTTTTTGGCAGTTTTCTTGGAATGCTCTCTGATCTTATGTAAGTGAACAACTTCCATAGATTTTCGGTATCACGCCTTGCAGTTTAATATCCAATTATATACTAAGCACGTTCTTTAACAAATACTGGTTTCGTTGCTCTTTGTTAAGTTCACGATTGATCTTGCAAGCATTCATTTGCAAATTTAGTGCTATTTTTCGTACTTGAACATGCTAATGTTTTAAATTTTTGATTCTGAGTTATCTTTAAGTGCTAGTTATATGGTTTTATAACACTTGTTTAGATGGAAATTTAATACTTTGCCCTTGTTTGTGCAGTGGTCATAAGAAATTATGTCTGTTGTTTTACATGCTGCACCTTTTTGTTGGCATATGGAAGAGAATCACTGCAGATCCTGCTATTTGGTTGGCAAGCACCTGTCTCTCTCTGGCCTCTTCAGTATTTTCCTTCAGTTTTGAAACATGGATGGTAGTTGAGAACGAAAAGGTTGGTCTTATATATCTATAGGCAGCACAGTTAATAATGGTCTAATTCATTGAGCAATGACAAGTATCTTTATGTATATCTTTGCAGCTGGGTCAGAGGAAGGATGCATTGAATGATATGTTTTGGTTAATGACTTTCTTTGAATCTGGATCTTTCATAGGCAGCCAGGTGCTTGGTAATTGGCTGATTGATAGTAATGTGAACAAAAATATAGCTTCTATTTGCAATGCAGCTATTGTTATAACTGTTATCGCTATCACTTATGTTACACATGGATGGAAAGAAGCTCCACAGGCAGCATCTTTCAAGGATTACCGGATTTTGTTTTACAAAAATGTCATCTGTGGTATGCAACTTGCAACTATTGAATTATATAATATGTTGTCAACTTATTATATTTGTGTTGTGAATTTGGTCAGGTTATTAGGCAAACCTCAAATGGAAACTGTAAAATGGTTGTCTGCTTGGGAATCAATAGATTTGAGTTTCTTCTATTGGTTGATAAAATCTATGATAACATCATTAGATATATAATGATATTTCCTTTTTCAGATAAAAGGATATGGTTGTTATCATGGGTGCAAGCCTGTGTCCATTTCTCTGTGGTTGCCTTCTGGATTCTTTGGGCTCCTACTATAGTTGTAAGATTTCAACTGCATTTGAATTCCTTGATATTTTCCCCCTTAGCATGTATGAGCACTGAGCAGTTCTCATACTATGCATATTAGTTGTTTTGGCTCATTTAGTGCAATCTATGTTCTGTTTTTCCTCCTCTGCTTTTGAACATGAAGTGTTGGTGAATTTAAAAGATCTGGAAAACCTAGGAGCATGTTCTAGCTTTTTTGAAATTATAATCTTTTAGTTTTAGATACAATAATGATTATTTAATAATTTAATCGTGAAAATAATTAACCATTTAATACAATACTTCAAAAGTTGCTGTGACTATTGGATTTTTATAGTGAAGCTCTTCAGATTCTTATATACTGTAGGAACTAAATGAAGCCATGCCTTACTTTTTGCCCTTAACTCTGGTCTGAATTAAGCTATATCTGTATTATAGTGAACCTAAGTTTTAATTTTATCGGCACATATTTGGTAAGGCCTGAAAGAATATCATTTTGTTCACAAAATCTATGACAAGGGGTAAAAGCTGATACTAACCAAATTTCCTTCATTCTGAATATGGATATTAAAGACTGTAAATCATTTTTCCTTTTTGTATGATTTTTGATGGAATGGACGTGTACGGATGTCTCACCCTGTTTCTGCATATTCAATTGTTTAAACATGAATGCTAATCTAATCCTGGGAATTTTCACACAATTTTCTCATATAGCTATTTCAGTAATTCTGTGACCACGATGGTTCTTGAATACCCATAGTACCACTGTATCTAGAATGGGTCAATCTGCTGCCTGATTTGCTTTATGCTTGTGACGTACATTTAACGGTTTGCTTGTAATCTTTATGCTTCTGCTTAGAGCCCTATCAATAAAAAGTGAATTACCCAAATTGTCATTAGACTTTAAAAATCACGTAATTCATCACTGAACTTTGCAAAAGGTTTCTACGAGGTCATTGAACTTTAAAAAAATCACCCCATTCATCACTGAACTTTACAAAAGGTTTCCACGGGATCACTGAATTTTGCAAAATCTTTTGCAAAGTTCAGTGATGAATTAGGTGATTTTTAAAGTTCAGTGATCTCGTGGAAACTTTTTGCAAAGTTCAGTGATGAATTTGATTACTTTTAAAATTCAGTGACCTCGTGGAAACCTTTTACAAAGTTCATTGACTATTTGGATAATTCATTCTATCAATTAAATTTGGACAGATTTGTAAAGGAAAATAAACTGCGAACGGAAGAGATGAGGACCAAACATATCATATGCTAACACTGAGTAATTAATTATATAAATACTGTTTGGCATACACCTCAATATATGCCAACAGTAGTGATCTATTCTAATAATTTGAGCTCACTGATTAATTATGAACTAGATCTTACCTGACTTTCTTAACAGAGTGATTTAGTTCTTATACTACAGAGGTTTTCCTTTTAATTGTGGTTAATCTTTAAATAAACATGTTCCGATTTGTTCTAATCTCTAAATAAACTTGTTCTGATTTGTTCTAATCTCTAAATAATCTTCTTGTGATTTTTTCTTTCTTTCACTTGTTCTTTTCTTTCTTTTTGTCTGGTGGTTCTATTTTAGGATGTTATGAATTGAACACCATCTGCTGCAAAGGTTTAATTAGACTATCAATAGTATTCTGATTTGATATGAAAATCATTTTTATATTTTTTCTTGTTTAAAATTTACTGATATATGAGAAAATAGTTTGATCTGTGTCTTGGTTGTAGGCTGATGGGAGAGATGTATCGCTGGGAGAGATGAGGACCAAACATATCATATGCTAACACTGAGTAATTAATTATATAAATACTGTTTGGCATACACCTCAATATATGCCAACAGTAGTGATCTATTCTAATAATTTGAGCTCACTGATTAATTATGAACTAGATCTTACCTGACTTTCTTAACAGAGTGATTTAGTTCTTATACTACAGAGGTTTTCCTTTTAATTGTGGTTAATCTTTAAATAAACATGTTCCGATTTGTTCTAATCTCTAAATAAACTTGTTCTGATTTGTTCTAATCTCTAAATAATCTTCTTGTGATTTTTTCTTTCTTTCACTTGTTCTTTTCTTTCTTTTTGTCTGGTGGTTCTATTTTAGGATGTTATGAATTGAACACTATCTGCTGCAAAGGTTTAATTAGACTATCAATAGTATTCTGATTTGATATGAAAATCATTTTTATATTTTTTCTTGTTTAAAATTTACTGATATATGAGAAAATAGTTTGATCTGTGTCTTGGTTGTAGGCTGATGGGAGAGATGTATCGCTGGGATTGATATATCCTTGTTTCCTGGGTGCTAGGATGCTTGGCAGCACTGGATTTCCTTGGTTGTTCAATGGACCCTTATCGATTCAAATGGAGGAATGCTTAGTATATTTGCTTATTGGAATAGGCCTTGTTTTCTCCATAGTTGCTTATGATTATCAGGTGCACACTTTTAGTCATTGGTTGCTTGGAAAACCCTTTTTGTGTGCGCGTGTGTGTAAAAATTCCTAGCTTGGTATTGCTAGTTTTTGATTTTGTAATTTTATGCACAGGAAATTGGAGTTCTAGTGATGCTCTTCATACTGTTTCATGCTTGCATGGGCTTGGTTTCTCCTTTACTTGCCCAATTAAGATCAATGTAAATGATTTTTACTATACTTTTTCCTCAAAAATCCTCCTCTGGCTCTTGTGAATATTTTATGAGTGCACTGCATCATTCATTCTTTTTGGAAGGCCATGATATCAGCTCCTCAAAAGTATCCTCTTCCACTACATCCTTGATCTTTTGGATAGAGTGCAAGAGGCTATTGTGGCTGAAATCATCAATTGCCTCTTTCATAATGAAGGAATATTTTTGACATATTTCATCTTGCTACTATGTGCATAGGTATGTGCCAAATGAAGTTCGTGGAGGAATGATTAGTCTATCGCTTGTACCTGCAAATGCAATATCTCTGTTTCTTCTATTACAGGTCCGTGCTGCTGCAACCACGTTGCTATATGGTCATAATGATAAATTACAATCTGTCTTCTGCAACTTCCTCTTGATTGATTATGAGGCTATTAGAGGATCGTTTTTATTATGACTTTTCTTGTCTTCCTTTATCTGTCAACTTCCAGATAGAAAATGCAACTAGAAAAAGCATGATAAAAATAAGAAGAGTGCTTCATCCTAAAATTTGTTTCTTCCAAAAGTAAAGTTCTAGCGTAGCATGAATCTGTTAGGCTGTAGTATCGCATAATGAGGCTGGTTTGATATGGTAGTTTGCTGTTTTAGGAAATAGGTTAATGTTTCACTACATCGCATGTTGCCAAAATAGACCAAATAATAGATGCAGAAACACAAGGATATAATAAATCATTTATTAATGTAATGAAGTCCAAATCTGCTTCAGACAAAAATCACCATTGCAACGATGATACAAATTTCAGAATTAATATTGCTTAATATTGACCTTGAGAGGCAACTGAAGTTTGATCATACTCTTTGCCACTGGAATGACCATAAAACTTGGATGTTTGAAAATTATAGAAGCTTAATTTTTCTAGCAAATGAAAGGAGAGATCGATTTCTGAATTGATTTGGGAATTCCAAAATCAAGAGGAGGTTCATTATGGGACACATCTTAAACAGTGTTTATCTAACCGTTAGATCTCACTACTTCAGATTGGACAAGAATTGCAGCTCAAACGGTTCACCATAACTTTCTCCAACATTTAACTTATGAAGACGTACTCTCGCCTCTTTGTGAGAGTCCCTTCTCTCCTCCTCCCCATTGAATAGACTTTCTGCGGTACCTAGCCATTTCTTCAAGTCTTTTTAGAAAATATAGGAGTGTTTATCGCTACTACTGACCTCAGCACTGAAAAAATGAGCTAACTGAGTAACACTTAGTGTTATCCCAAAGACAGTTATGTAAGCCGGACTTAATGACAGATCTGCTTTCTAGTTTGTTTATTTTATCTAAAAGCCACTCCAACTGTTTTTCTAGTCGGTCACTCTAATTTGCGTCTAGTTAGTACCACCAAACAATGCAAAAATGCACCCGTGCAGGTGGTGCAATGCGCTTGAACATTAATCACCTCGTGTCAAAGATGGTTTATTATTTCATTAAAACCTTAATAAACTGTAGGACTCATTCATGAATGTTCCACGAAGTTGGCTAAAATCACTACTTTCCAACATGTCCAACACTGCTACATATGTACTGCAAGCATTGTTCCATTTTCTCTTTTTTGATTTTCTAGTTTTCTGTCAGAATTGTCTGTCATAAATTGGTGTAAGTTGCTATAATGTGATGTTGCAGGGAGGTTATTACAAGAGGTTTTGGAACTCAACTATCATAGTATTTGCCGCTTTTGGTCTATTCTCAGCAGCTTGTTGCATGCATATATTGAAAAAATGGGGAAAGCAACTCCATCAGAACAGGCGTAACTTGTGATTATCGAAGTTCGCTCTATTAACATCAAGGTGTGATGGATCCCTGATTTGTGGAGATGTTATTTTTGTAACTTTACAATCCAAAGACACCTGTAAATATGAAAAGAAAGATGAGAAACTGGGGAATCATACACAGCTTGCTGGAAACAAGAGAATCCATGAGGGTAAAACGGCCAAATCTTCAATTTTACATCATTCCTTTCAGTCAATTGCATCTGGGCTGCAATAAAGAAAAGGGTATGCCAGCATTGAAGCTATACTGCTGAGAGACAATTTTCAGTTATGAAGAACATTTTAGCAGATTGACCTAGTATTCAATGTCCTTAGGTTTTTGCTTATCGAACTGTTGAAGTTGGCAGCACATTTGTACAGGAGTGTCAAATGGTTCACTCTTTTGAGAGCAACTTGTTTTCACACTTTCTGTTTTCAGCTTCTTCAATAGAATTGACACATCTTAAGCACCACCAATTTGTTTACCAGTACTGATATTCAGCTGTCATTGATTTACCTTATTTGATGATTATTATAAAAATTGGAAAAAGCTTGAAAGAGGGAGGAAACCCCTCAACTTCCATATCGAGCCACCCTTTATTCTTTTGAAAATTTAGAGTAAAGCTGCCCAGAAGCGTATAGCAAAATGTTCATATAAAAGCTAGGTATTGCTAGTGTTTCTATACACAAATCTTATTGGCAACTCTGAGTTTAAACAAAAATGGATGTCCAATTTCTGATGACCAAAATTTTTAGGATAATGCTCAGAGCAGTGGACATAAATCTAGTCTTCTTCCTGATCTTGATCCCTGATCCATTTTGTGGCTACCCATTTTTCCCCATTGATCACCGGACAGCTCCCATGAAGAGATGTCTGCAGTTGTAGCAAAGCAACGTGTAACAGTCAAAACTCAACACAATGATGGAAAAAAAATGAGGAATTGTTCTAAAAGAAGTAAAAGAAAAGAGAGAAGCAATATACATCACAACTCACCGGATTAATTGTACCATTTGGGAATAGTGAGTAGAACAGAAGTGCGTCTCCTCGGCGTGGCTTTACTTTCATACCCATACATTTACGATAATCATAAGTAGCGTCCATGTTTAGCCCGTTCTGTAGATCAAAGCATTGAGCCACTGTGCGTTACAATACCAACGAAAGTAGGGAAAAATAGAAGGAAAAAGAAGCTGGTAAATAACAAAAGGATAAAAGAAAAACGATTGATCTTACCTCTATAGGGAACATGGTTTCACCCCCTTCTTCAACATCAGACAAATACAACAAGAAAGAAGCTATCTGAAAAATGTAAATTAAGTTGAGGTTACACTAAGTAGTCATTAATTTAACAGTATGTGCATAAAATCTTGAACAAGAAACCTATGGCATTAACTAGCTTAGGAAGATCTCTCTGAGGGAAATCTTGTGCTGTTTTTATATTCAGCTAGTGATTTTAGAAAGAAAGCAAAATCAATACAGAGATGCAATTGTGCTGCAAATTATTGACATGAACATTTAATCCTTGGATTTATCACCAATTTCAGTTCCTTTTCTGTTCATCACGCACTAAACCACTACTTACAGAAAATCTTGTATGAATGAATTCTAATATCATGCTTGCATTACCCTTTGGCTCTTCTGTGCACCATATTCAGCAGGATTGAAAGCATCATAATGAGAATGGTATCTCTGACCGACCTCATAACGCAAGACGTTGAATGCCTGAGAAATGGTACATGCATTATTTAGAGAACTTCTAAGATTTAACTAAGACGAAATATTACCTAATACAACTCTAATCAAGTGTATGAAGCGAACAAGTAAGCATAGCAAGTAAACACCAATTTTAGTAAGTTATTTACAGAACCACAAAACCATCTTCTCGGAAAGCTAAAATTCAAGCTCGTTTTCCTACGATAATATGGACATTATGTTTTATGAGATTGCAAAAGGAGTTCGCAATCATACCATTTATAAAATGTGTATTTCAGTACAGCAAGATAAAATCGATGATGTAGCCTAACTCACATTACCTCTCCATGGGTTCTGGGGATCATTGTTACTTTTGCAATTTTTGCCTCAATCTCATGCAGGATTCCAGTTTCGTCTTCAGATGCATTTATAAACATGCCAGAACTGACAGCAAAGAAAATCACAGCTTAGAATGTATCACATGAACTCACTGGAGACAGAATGGCCAAGTATTTTAATGCTTTAGAGGCCTACAGCAGATGAAGCAAATTGTGTGCACTGATCTTTACGCCTTTTCGTGCAGGTAAGAACTTACCCGACAAGAAATTTAACCACCTTAGGACCGTTATAGTTAAGGTGCAAAATTCAATACAGTAACAGAATTTAAAAATACCATATGAGCATAAAATAACACATATGCTTAATTATGATCCACCATTTGATTTCAGTGGGAAATAGTAATTACCTTGTCCTAATTCCTTTGGTATTTTCAGCTGTTTCTCCCTCGCGTAGAGCTAAGGAAGATGGTTCAAGGTGTTCCTTTGCTGTTTCTATTATGCTTTTACATTGTTCTGCACTAGCAAAACTTGGAAAGTACAATGCTCGTGGATTCCAGCTCAAAATCTGTATAAGAGCAATTACAGAACAAGATTATTATTCGAAGGAAAAGAAAGCAAATACTTATAACCATCAGATTCTGTGGATGATAAACTCGAATATTTATATTTAAACACACTAAAGAAAATTTTGGTTTCAAATGTGCTGATTTCCTTTTGTTTTTAGCTTATTGTTGAAAAGTTTAAATCTTATATCAAATTCCGTTTTTAGTATTAACCGACAAGCATTTGAAATCTATTAGCGGCAATGGATTTCAAGAAACATTAATGCAGGAGGGACATTCGATCACCTAAGGTCTGCCCAGAAAATTAGACTCACAATTCAATAAAAGAGACAATTTAAACTCGCCTGAAAAGGAATCGAAGTGAGATTATCCTCTCCGGTCTCTCCCCGCGGCAGCGCATCAAACTCTTTCTTCTTCTCTTCCTGCAGTCCCCGAGGCCAATGCCTTGAAGAAGTGCTTGACGCATCCTGTCTCACATATAATCAAATTATAACTCATAGAATTAGAATCACTTTATTATGAAAACGATAATCAATATAATTACTAGTATTAATGGGTATTTCAAAGCTGAAACGAACAGTCAATTCCGAGATCGACATTTACAAAATGGAAATTGAAGGGATACCAGACCTGCTGAGAGAAAAGAGTACAACCAAAGAACCCGGCAAGAAAAAAGAATATGCATAGCAAGAAAATGGATGGCAACCCTAAAATCATCCAATTTGCTCCTACAAGTTTGCTTCCTTTGTTCTTCATTTGATGAAAAAAAAATAAAAATAAAAAATAAAAATCAATGGCAACTAGTCTTATTCTTTCAACAGCTACTATAGCAAATACAGTTTTCTTTTGTGCTTTTTCTCTTCTTTTGGTTCTTTCGAGAATTCAAAGTTTTCTACTATGTTTCCACTTTCGAATGCAGCAATCAAATCGATCATGACTTTTGTACTACTTGTCTTCCGTATGCGGCGGGAAGTGATATTTGAGTAAAATAACGAAGGAGGCCCCCTAACTTTCTTTCATCGTTTAAAACTTATCACTCAAGTATCAGTTTAATTACCAAGAACCACTTTATTGGAAGATTTAAAGACCTCCCTTACAAAGTACAATGTAGGCAATCTTGATTGGACTCCTCATCATATTAATATGCAATTTTTAACAAAATTATATGATATATAAATATTGACTTTACAATTGGAAGGATGCACGATTGGATGACATTAACGATCATGTTGTCCACATAAGAAATTTATCAATTACGTAGAAAATGATGTTAGAGTTTGTGAAAAGTATCATTATTGGTGAAAAAAAAATCTAACATAATTGCTGACCTTAGAAATGGACCTTCACGTAGCCAACATAAAGCAACTCCACCTTTATTCATCCCTCACAATTGGCACAAACAGTCAATCACTCATGGCCATTCCCAACGCTAAAGTTTGTGGCCATGAACACTTCGACGATCAAGTAAGTTGATTGTATTTGCACACAACTAATTTCAATAGTGGGTATCGTCAAAATTTCTATATTATCTCAAGAGAGGAGGAGAAATAGTAGTTCTAAATAATAAATTTACATTATCTCACAAAGGTATAGAGCACAAGTATTTATAGAGAAAAAGGTAGAAGAAGAACCGTTGGATGGAGGACACGTAGCTTCATCTGTTGGTCTGAAACATCTCTTTATAGACGCCCATCTATCACTCCATAGGTGGGCATGCATTTAATATTTCTAGATTCCAATCGATATATTGACGTCTGCTGTAGAGATATCATATTTATCATTCATAAGATTTTATTTTGGACAAATCTTTACCTAAAAAAACCGTATTTTATGTCGAAGCATTGATTGCCAACCGGCAAGCAATACGGATTGGCCTTGTTCATACCAATGCTATCTACTCTTAAATATTTGCCTCATAATATGTTGCTATGCTACTTAGGAGCTTCGATGTCTCGATGTGTGGACTTGTGTTGATAACACGGTGACTCGTTATTAAAGGCGTAACAAGAATAAAAGCTTGAACAAAGAGTTAGAAACAAGAAAAGTTGAGTGACTAAAATGAAATATTGTCAAAAGTTAAGGTATTTTCCACCTTTTGTTTGGCTCCCATTTTCTAAGGTCCTGTTTGAAAGTGATTTTTTCCTCCAAAAAATTGATTTTTTGACCGTTATTTCCCTATTCCGACTATCATATTTGACTTTTTCTCTCACAGGTAGACCCAACTTTTCTCCTAATGGTCAAAAAATCAATTCTCAAAATCACTCCCAAACAGACTCTAAAACTTATCAACTTTTCAACAATTGACAACTTTTATCATAATTTACTAAAAACTTAAACTTTAGCTAAACAAAACAAGACTTTAGTTTAGTTCATAGTTATCTATGAATATTGGGCTTTTATTTTATTTCATTTTTATTTTTATTATTATTATTATTATTATTTTGTTGAGGATAGATAGGCAAATTATAGAATGTTAATATGATAATAATTGCAGGTTGGAATTGATCATTGAAGAGGTGACATAATGCACGTGCGAAGACTCGTTTGAACGTTACTTGTCTCTGATCCTTGCTTCATTTTTTCACCTCCAGTTTTTTGGTCGACCTCCCAAAATCAAAAAATAATATCACAAACTTTGACAAATACTACAGATTTAAATCTAAAGGCCAGACCTTTAGAACTGAACCAAGATCTAAAAGCTAGAGATTAGCACACGTTTGCTACCATTAAAAATCTTTAAAATCTAAATCAAAGTCAACAATTAATTTTAATTATACATTACATAACACCCACAAATTTTTAAGCACACATTCCATCTATTTTTATTAAAGTCTGCTAAACATCAGATTTTAATCTCCATCAAACAAGGGTAAATAGCAATCAAGTCACAGGCTTGTCAAACAAAGATAAGCAATTTTCTTAAATTAGGCAAACATTCAGTGACTGCCAGCACGGAGCAACAAGATGACAATGTCTACGTGCTCTGCAAATTAGACTTCCATTTGGTGTATTTTCCTTCTCCCCTGAGCACCTGAAAAAGAAGAAATGGCAGAAAGTAAGGCCCCGTTTGTCTCCCATTAATGTAAGAATGACAAAAAAAAAAAAAATAGTCGTTACGAACCCCACACAAGAGATAGAAATTTAAATATGGTGGCTTGATGTGATGGATAACGCTCATATTTTTCATTTTAATGGCCAAATAATGGGAAACAAATGGGGGCTAAATCAAATATCAACATGAAGAAAATGTTTCAACAATTGCTCGTTACGCCAATACTCTTCCAGATCCAGGCTCCAGATAGATTACTGGAGTTGTGCAAGGTTCCAAAAGGGTATCTTTGCTTTCTTGTGTAGAACTCTCAAAGTAATGACTAAAAAAATAATATTTCCCATGACAAACGGTTATGACACTATGTGCCTCCAAATCAGGCATAGCTCAAAATTCAATCCACGCTGACTGACACAAAAGAGAATCTATCCAAGTAATTACTTTGGGGAAAAAAATAAAGCATGTCTCAGGGTTACAGCCACATGCAAAGAAGAGGTAGGATACTGTTAAACTTCTAAACTAAATTTTGCAATATTCAAGGACAATAATCACATGTATTTGCCTTATGGTGATTAAGTTACAATACAAAGTTTAAATAAGATACAGATAGTACCTGCTATTTATTTCAGTAGAGATTGTTCATAATTAAGGTGTAGTTAGAACAAACCTAATGTCAGAAATACCTGAATTAGCTGAATCAGGACGCCTTTCAATTCATTCAAGCCACCATCGAGAACAATGAAGGCCGTACAAAAGCCTGGCATCCCCATTTCGATTTGTTTTATTGTAATTTAAACTTCAATATGACGTGTTTTCTGGTGATTAATGAACCAGGAGTTGCTCCTCATGTAAAGGAAATGATGAAGATGGGATCTGAGCTGGGGAGGAGGAGGAGCCCACAAGACTGTAGGCTTTACCCTTACTCTATAGACTGCCTCCAATGACGAGAGAGATTGTTCTATACTTGTCCCTTTCTTGTGTGCAATAAGCTCCAATGGATAATAATTACCTTTCAAAAAAAAATAATAATAATAATAAGCCATTATTCAGAAATGACTTCAGGAACCAGGCAGGACATTTTTGGAGGGTCATATCTGCAAGTATGATGACAAAGATTTCATGTTCACGTCATCATCTGGAAACAGCATTTTTAATGCCTTTTCGTCATTATCAATATTCACTGAAGGATCTAGAGTGACACTGCTTGATGTCGTAGACAATTTCAATTTGAAGTTTCAATCAGAGAATACTAAAGAAAGCTGCTTGTGGAACCCAGGACTCAATAACAATGTTGTCTCCATCTAGGAGATCAGCATTTATCACCCAATGAAGAGCCAATATTTTCTATACAAGTCTCTTACACCAACTGAGAACTCTAGACATTTTGGCCTCAACTATACCCTTCACTGTCTGTTTCCTTCTTGCATTTTCGATATCCAGAGTTCTATAAGCAAGAGCAAGTAAGTACATTGCTGGATGGACTCTCCTGCATATGAGATTGAATAGAATTAAAAAGAACTTCCATTTTCAAGAACACGGTGCAGATATCCTGAAAAAATGACAGTTGTTCTGTTCTTCTTCTTCTTCTTTTTCCCCCATTTATTAATAGAAAATTGAAAGAACGCAATAAACAAAAATCATCCAGTCTGCATGTGGTACGTCATCAATGTGAAACTTTATTGTTTCATTTAGGCATAACAAGACCAATTACAACAGAACTTTCAGGACAAGTGGATGAAATTCAGCCTATTTACTTTGGCTAATTTGCAACATTTGCTCTCAAGTGTGAGAATCTATTAACGTTTGAGCTCTTTGAAAACTATTAAGACCTCAAATTCAAGGGAGTGTAAATTCCCAGTACATGAACTTTGCTTCCTTTACAAAGATAAAAATGAGATGACAAGTTCTTTAGTTCTTTTATATTTTTAATAGGCATACACATGAGATACTTACTTTTCCAACTGTTCATAAGCATCCAAACCGTCCCAGTACCTCTGAGATGGGACAGTCCGCCCCTTCTTATTCCTTCCAAATGTCTCAACATACCAACCTCCTATGTCATGCATAGCACTGCGAGGCTCAAACAGCCAAAACCTGTTGCGGAAGAAGAAAAGTAACGTACAATAAGATCAAGAAACATTGATTCAAGTAGCACCAAACCCAAAAGATTGTGAAATAATAGTTGAAAGCGATATATGTTTGATGTTTCACCAAAAATAATGATATACTTAGGAATTTACCAAGTGATTTCAGCAGTTTATCTGACCAAATTATGTTTACACCGCTACAGAAACCCAAAAAAAAAAAAAAAAGAAAAAGAAAAAGAAAAAAAAGGAGAAGGGAATCCAGCAAAATGAAGACAAACTGATCGGAAGCAAATCACTCAACCAAAAGCATAAACATCCATATAGAGCTCGTTTGGTAGGGTTTTTGAGAATTGATTTTTTGACCGTTAGAAGAAAAGTGAGGTCCACATGTGAGAGAAGAAGTCAAAAATTACGGCTTGAATAGTAAAATAACGGTCAAAAAATCAATTTTTTGGGGCAAAAAATCCCTACCAAATGGGGCCACAGTAGATGCACATATAGACATGTGTGACTAAACAACAGATATTATACGTACGCAACCATACATGTATATCTGCATGAGGTATAAGAGAGAAAATTATGATGTTCAGGCGAAAGAAGAATATATGTTATTGTGCACTGAAGAAACGATGAGGTGATTAGAGTCTCTAGTTCAGTAACAGAATAAAACAATGTTAAAAGGGAGTAAAATCAGGATAATATCAGATGGAAAGAACAAGGACAAAAGAATCCTTTATCCAACAGTCTTTACTCTCCTAACAACTACTTTACCATCATGAAACATATAATAGCACAACAAAACTAGGCTGGATGAAGCATGTCAATTGTCAGAGAAGAATGTCAAATGCTATGTCAAAAACAATTTCTGTTTCCTTAACTAACCATCAACTCCAAATCTTTTATTACCAACAACAAACTAAGTCTTTTCCCTAATATAAATTTGGAGTCAGATACATGTATGAAACTATAATAGAATAACGAAAAAAGTTCAATGAAGAGTTTCATGTTCATTTGGAAACAGTCATGTGTATTTCAGAAGCTTGTCTACTGGAATGCAAAGGAAAGTTTTTACCTGCTTGGTGGCAAACGGGCTCTACTACATCTGCATTCACAAACTGAAACTTTATCTCCAACTTCATACCAGTGCATGTGTTTAACCTGAAAGACATTTCCACATGAATACAAGGATCAAGCAAAGTGTATAGAACTATATGTTACAGTTACATATTCTATAACTATTACTTCTCTCGCATTCTGACAAATAGCTGATAAAAGCAACAAAACTACATCTTTTGAGGGCCAAAGAAAATAGATTCTTGAATTTCACAGTTGATGAAGTCAGAAAGATAGCTATTCTTCGTACAATCAGGATGCAGAAGAAGAAACAGCTTAATTAGGACTATGAACCATTACGCATTGGTCAAGCTTCCCCGGGAACTGGCGATGATAAAAAATATTGGGTGAAATTTCATATATCAATAATACTAGAACAGCTGACAACCCAAGTCTCTAGTATCCATTGTATTCAGCAAGGAAACATACCACAAGAAGTTAAAAAGTATAGCCAAAATCTAATCATAGTTCATAATTTTTTCCAATGACAAAAATCGATGATCAAATAAATATCATGCACTGACATACTTCAATATTCGTATGTGTGTCACCAGTTAAATCAGTGCATATATAATCCTACATATGCAAGGCTATCAAATTGAATCAACTATCTCCCTGAGCCTTACCCCACCAAACATACAAAAACAACAAAAAAGATGATGATCAGATGTTAGGTATGTCGAGTCAACGAGCGGGAGAAAGTGTTGTCGCACAGAGGAAGATTAATGAAGAGAAAGATTTATTATGATATAAACATGTAGCCCAAGATATAATGGCTGAAGCTTTTGTGTTCAGATTGGATTCTAAGCTTACTCACTTTTGTGTCAAGGTTCGGTTCTATGATTACTCTGGCCAACTCTATGGGCTCAACCAATATGTGGTGTACGAGCAGATGGTGTGGAAATTCATGTCAACTATCCACATTGTATGCAACAAAATGGAACTCCATGGAATACACAATCTCAAACGTAACTAAGTAACAGCTCTTTGACTACCTTAGTTTACCCATATGTCCTATACAGGGTGAAAACTTGATCACTCTCCCCTGTCTGTATGGTGTAATGCTCAAACCATATCAAGCAAGTAATTGAACTCAAGGATTTCACATGTTTTTGAAGTCGAGGTTCAGGCCTGCAAAAGCCATCCTTGTAAAAGCCTTCCCAGACAGTTTTAAACTAACCCAACTCGTCCTAGCAACAATTTTAAGCTACCACATCAGCAGTCTCATTATTATTCTTTATAGTCCACTGTCTGAATGAGAAAGAGCTGCTATTTTTTTCATTTTAAGATGCTCCACCACTAAATTGGGAAAATAAGAGTCCTTAGTTTCTGATAATTAGAAAATTAATCAAAATTAAAATGAAAATATCTCTAAATCTTACTCCTATCTCCCAACTGAGTCAAGTTAGGATTGTGATTGGACTCTGCAGATATAAGATATAGTAATGCCTTTGTCAAGTGGGATCTCAAAGGGTTGGAAATGAACTATCAAACTGGACCAAGAGGAGCTCTCTAATGAGTAGATATCAAGGTGAGTGCGGAAACACTCAAAGGAACTACTGGGATAATTCGTGGATGGCTTGGCAAGTGGCAGGTTGATAGCTGGTGGAGTTAAGGCGATACGCATAGTTTGAAGGTTTACTTGTGAAGGGAAGATGTTCAATATCCCAGGTGAAGAGGTGGGAGGACGTGTTGTTACACACGGGATGGTCAAGGTTAGCTTTAAGTGTGCATGTTAAAGTCAATTTCTATTCGAGCTGAATCATTGGGCCTACCAATAAAGACAAAAATAACATGCATAAACACGTAAAGGTAGAGCACACGTTGAAAAGTTTGTTTTACTTCCAATGCTTTCTTAAGAACTAGTTTCACAAAAGTGTAAGCTATCTGAGAGTGAATTGGAAGGATGGAGTACACACACCAGCAGTGTTCTGTGCTTCATAATCACATGGGTTTTCTTGCCACTATTATTGTAGACATAGCAGCTTCCTTCTTCAGGGCTGGTTCCCAGACCAGTTATAATTCCCAGAGGTATCCTCGATCCAACTGACAAATCTGCAAGGTTATCTCTAGAAAACACCTGACTTGCACTATTTGTGTCTTCACGTGCAGTGAGGTAAACGTGTATTTGGTCTTCAGAATCCTCATCTCGTATCCCACTAGAACACGTTGGCAGGACTCTTGTGGCCATGGCGACACGTCTCCCTGACACATGCAATTCCAGGTCTTTATAAGCATCAGATGTGTGGTAATCACTACTTGGGGATTGCTGCTCAGAAATTACACCATCAGATCTGTCAGAATCCATTTTTTGGCTGAAATCCACAACAGATTCGCACAAACCCGACTCAAAAGATGTCAGCTTTTCATTGTAGGATTGTGATATTTCAGGAACCTTATTGGCCAAACATACCATCCCAAAAAGGTCCCTGCCCGAAACCAAATGCAGCACCTCAGGCGTTGAATCTGTGGACCTCTCCTCAGCTTCAAAACGGTCAGGAAGGAGATCCCTGGACTCAATCTCAGGTCCGTAGTATGCTGCATGTATGGCTGAATAAAAGTCCCTTTCCAGGACATCAAAATAACCTGATCCAGCTGCCACCCTTCTTTCTGCCAAAATGTCTTTGATTGTATATCTATACCATTTCAACCATTCAACGACTTCCATTTCCATCTCTGGATCTCTATGTGATGCATAGTACATAATGGGATCATTTCTAGAATGTTTTTGAACAAATGCTCTTTGAGATAAGAGATACCGATCATAATGAGCTCTCTTCTCAGAATCTGAGAGTATCTGTAATCCAGTAGTGATTACTACATATAATTTTTGCTTTAAAACATGTGACAGTATTAAATCTGGCAAATGGACATATGAGCATGATGTTGTGCATGCCAATTGTGTAACATGTTAAGATACTTAGATAAAATAAAATCAAAACTTGATTTGCTAAACTTCAAAACTAATATTATGCGGTTATGACTGCGCGCACAGGAGAACAAGGCCCAAACAAGTATGTGATTCTTCTTTATTCACCAAGCACAAAATTGTGATGCTCCAATTGGTATCGCCACAGATTAAGAATTACACTGATTGGGTCAATCAACCCCAAATTCATTAGATCTCAACCTCACGGCTCCACTTACAATCATCGTCTCTCTTCACCATTTCTTTTGAAATCAGAAAAATAAATAAGCGGAAAAAATGAATTCAAATTCTAAAATTTCACATCTAGGGGGGGGGGGGGGTTTACCTCATAAGCTGCGAGGATTTGAATGAATTTATTGGAAGCATCACAGGTATCACTGGGAGAGTGCGCTAGGTCCGGATGAGTTTCCTTTGCCAATTTCCGAAAAGAGGCTTTGATTTCTGCGAATGAGCTGCTCTCTGATACCCCTAGGAGATCATACGCGCTTGACCCGGCGAACTCAAACTGAATCGACGACTCAGCGTTAGTGCCCAGCCACCGCTTCCCAGGGAAAGTCGGATAAGAACAGAGAAGCAACTTGTGGAAAGGAGCAGCATAATTGGCGTAATCTGATGACGATTGAGGTAGAATTTGATTGACTGAACGATGGATGGAGAAAGGAGCGTGGAGAGTGATGCACTTGGTGAAGAACGCCATGTCTCGGCGATTTCAGTGAGTTTGGGAAACTCGAAACCTTTAGTTTGTATTTTTAGTAAAATTTCACAACTGCTCCCCAGCCTACGGAAATTGTTGCAACTTGATGATCAACTTTTTTTTTTTTTTCCCTCCCCTCCCCTTTTTGGATCGTATCAACATTTTAATTTTACCATGTAAGTTATCTCTGATCAAAACTTTTTTATTCGAGGTTAAAATACACCTAGAAAGAAGAGAGAGAGTCCGAACCTCCAGTCCTCACCCACCTCATCCTTTCCCATTTCCTAACTCCTCAACCGGTGCCTGATCTTGTCTTCCTATGCTAGCTTCCAAAGAAAATTTAACGGTCAAATACAAAATTCCTACGATGTGAGCTAATGACACTATTTGATAGGTTTGAGATGTCGACTGAATCAACATAATGCAGAATAAATAGGAGCTTAATGCTATGTTATATTATTAAATTATTTCAGATAGTTTCACATAAACCTAATGTGCAGACATGATGGGGTCATGGGACAAATATCATCACGGTTTATCCATTTATTCTAAGCTGGTCTTATAAATGGGCTTTGCACTTTGTATGATAGGATAAAAGAAGTGGAAATTACACCACATCCTACTTTAAAAATTCAAAATTTTAAAATTAGACTGAATGTTTCACTGTCCAAAAATCAAATGTTTAATTAATTAATTATTATATATAAAAATTAATTAATATACCCTATTTCATTCCAAATCCTAATTCATTTTCAATCTAAACCTAATCACTTTCTTCTTTATTCTCTCTCTACATTTTTTCTCTCGTCTCTCTTTTTATCACTCCAATGACTTGTCTTGTCTCCAATGGAGGCGTTCGGCTATCTGATGACTTACCTCCACTGCCAAGTAGGGCTTGTCCTTCTACCCTTTTTTCTTCATCACCTGTCGGTAACAACGCGGCGGAGAATCCATTGCGCTAAACAGTCGTTGTTGTAAGGGCAAACCCATCGCCGTTCACCACTGAAACAGTGCTTGAATTCGCCTGCGCTTTACGTAGTAACAAGCTCAGAGTGTTGCACACAATGGCATACGCTTTGGTCACCGGTGCGTAGCATTTTATGGACAACGGTCTTTGCACGCTGATGGGTTTGTCGTTTGTGGTGGTTGTTTTGTGATGGATTTTGTGGTTGTTTTGTGGTGGTTTTGTGGTAGTTTTTTAGATGGTTTTGTGGTGATGGTGGTCACGTGGTGTGCAACTTGTGATTCGGTATGGTGGTGTTGGTTGTAGGAATTATGGTGGCGATGGTGCTGGAGGTGGATCTGGTGGTAGCAGTAATTTTTATGGTTTTGGATCTGCCATGGTTGTGGATCTACCATGATTTTGAAAATGATTTTTTGGATGGTTTTCGAGCGTGAAGATTTAATTGATTTTTGTTTGTTGGTGGTGGTGGTTTCCATGGTATGGTGATGTTGGGATGAGTTTATTCGTGGCGATGGTGGTGGATCGACACTGCTGATGGTGGATCTAGAGTTGGTGAAAATGGATTTGGCGACACATCTAGCGGTGGTGGTGAGGTGGTTGTTACAAATGTTGGTGATGGTGGTCACAAGTGTCGGTGGTGATCACAAATGATTGTGTTGACTGTGACCACTAAATTGGTTAATCCGTGACTAATAAACAATATGTGATCAATAATAATGATAAATTGTGACAAAAAATAAAATGTGATCTAAAATTTTGTTAATTTGTGACCAAATTGTATAGATCTGTGATATTCATATATTTAATTAATAAAATATATAATTAATTAATTAAATCATAAATAAATTTTACTAAATATCTGATTTTTGAAATTTGAAACTTTTATCCTTAGTTTTGAAATGAGTGATACTTATCCTCTTACTTATAAATTTTTCCCATAAAAGAATTTATACTTTATGATTTTAGATTTGTGAAATTACACTCACCTCCTCGTTTTAAATTATCCAATTCAAAATTAAGATTTAAATGTTTTCTTTTCAAAAATCAAATATAAATGAATTTCAAATGTTAATAATAATATTTTAAAAATTAAATTATTTGACATATTCATCCTACCCAAACCCTAATTATTTCACTCTCTATAACTATATATTCTCTCTCGCTCTCGCTCTCAACCTCTTTCTACAACTCTATCGAAGTTGGATCTGTGCAAGGAGATCTCTCTCTTCCCAACCTCTCTTTTTCTCTTCCTACCCCCTTTCTACAAGAGCTGGACCTATGCACAAAGAGGCGTGCTACTGCGGTGAAGGTGACACCGTTAACAGAGGCATTGTTTCGGCCAATTTGCAACGCCACGCGAGGTGTTGCAGCGGCTGTTCACTGGTGTTGTAACAGTGTAGAGATTATAGTGTTGCCTTCATTGAGGAGAATATGAGAATGACTGATTAAAATATAGGTGTTTCTTGGTGGCATATTGTTATGTTTTATATTGTAATTGCCAATTTTGTGAATAAAAATAATGTAATTGAACTTTTGTAAAAGTTAAGAACTTGGGTTGCAATTTGTATAGATGCTTAGGATTGATTAGGGTTCGAGTTTAAAGTTGGAAATAAGGTAAGATGACTGTAGGAATTTCGCTAGCTACCCGCCTGACCATCGCTCGAGTGAAAATAATAGAACCATCGTTGCTCGCTTGTCACCCCTGTGTCGCTCGAGCGAAAAGTCGTCTTTTTCTTTTCGTCGAGTTTTCGTTCCAGCGACAGTGATATCCGACCAAATCCTAAGTTGCAATTTTGGAGAACTTTACATGGTCCATGATATTTATTCATCCCCAACTATAAAAACCCAAGGCATGGACGAAAAAGGTTGCTCATTGTGCTTCAACAACATAAACACATTCATATTATCTTTGATATCCAAGAACACAATTCATCGGTGGAATCAAACATATCGATCTTGTAATCTGACAACCAAGTTTTGGAAAAAAAATCAAAGGTTTAAGAATCCAAAACACCTGGCTTCCTTAATTCATTGAAGAAAAGCACCAGAATATGAGGTTCTTGAGAATTCCATTTGGAAGAGGCAATCGGTTTAAGAACAACAGGCTGAAAAAATATAGCAGATCTTGTGGGCTGCAAAAGGTAGATCGAAAAGTCTAATGGAGTAACTAGACAATATCTACGACAGTAGATCGTGAGATTGAAAGATTAACATCGGATCTTAGAGATTATAGGAATTACAACAGCTAGAACTAGAGGGAGTTGCTAGTTTGGAATCGCACTATAACCCCGATTGACTATAGTGGAGGTAACTAGCTTGGTCCCGAAATTTTTCCTACATTGGGTTTCTGCGTCAACAAATTGTGCATTGTTCACTGTTTTCCATATTATTACAATTGCCGCATTCAAATATAGGAAAAATGGAGTTATATGTTTAATCATCTATAAAACTAATTAAAAGTGACTTGTTGCTTTAATTATTATAATTTTGCACGTAAGGTCGAAGTAATAAATTGTCTAAAATGTAAATTTTGTAATTCTAAAATTTGAAGTTGTTTCCAAACCTGAACTCACAAGTAGTCAAGAGCGTTCTAGCCGGTCCTTCAAGTGGTGTCAGAGCCTAATTGCGTGTCCTGGCCTTACTTTATCTAGATGAGTACCTCGTTGACTATCCCGCTCTATTTTGATGGTAGCAATTACTCTTATTGGAAACTTTGGATGAGGGCATTTTTGAAATCTATGGATGAGAGAATTTGGTTGAGTGTAGTTAACTGTTGGCTTGCACTTGGTACCATGGTTAATAATGTTGTCACTCCTACCTCCATAGAAAATTGGTCAAAGGCTAAACTAGATAGTTGTAACTAGAATAGCTAAGCCCTACATGCCCTCTTTATGGCTGTCTTCCCAAAAGAGTTTAGGAGTGTATCCATGTGTGAGGTTGCGAACGAAGTTTGGGATATCCTAGAAACCATGCATGAGAGAACTCAAATGGTTAAGAATTCGAAGTTGCAAAAACTGACCAATAGGTTTGAAGAAATTAAAATGATAGATGATGAGACTTTTGATGTCTTCTTTATGAGCCTAAATGACATAGTGAATTCTAGCTTCAACCTAGAAGAGAAAATCTCCGAGCCTAAGATAGTGAGAAAAATTCTTAGATCTTTACTTGAACTTTTCAAGCCTAAAGTTACGGCAATTGAGAAAAGTAAGGACATAGATTCCATCAAGGTGGAAGAGTTAGCTGGATACTCCAAACCTATGAGTTGACCTTAGATAAACCTGTTAAAGATAAGCCTTTGGCCCTGAAATTCGTGAGGAACGATTAGACTGAATCTTCTTATTCAGATTCACCAAATGATGAGAAGTTAGCCCAGGGCCGGACCTGTGTTTTGCGGGACCCAAGGCGAACTTTAGATTTTGGGCCCATAAGTCATAAAAAGCAATAAATTTGTTTCATTTATAAGAGATTTAAGGAACTAAATCTATTAACTTAAAATCAAAAAATAAAACATAGGAAATGAAATATTTAAAATATGTATATTATAATCAAATGACAATGCAAAAATATTCTAAAAGATCACTTAAATACAAGTCATCTTGCGGTTTTTGAGATAAAAATATGCATAACAAATTCATATATAGGATAGAGCCAAATTGAAGTAACCTATATCACATTTTTTATTTAATCTTCTTCACATATATTCATATAGAGTGGCTTAATCTCTACAAAATTGAAGTAAATTGACCTGGTTGCTCGTCAATTGAAGTTTAATAACCTAACTACATTGAGGCAAACGTTTTGCAACAGACAATACAACTAAACCAAATTCGTGTAGATTGTCATGTGTGCTGTGTGCACATGTTAGTTTTGAGAAGTTGCACTTCGAGTCTCAATGCCGTCGCTACTGATTGCCGTGGACTGTAGAAGAAAATGAATTATTGTGTTGAAGTTAGGTTTTTAAAAATAGGGATATACCATTTTCTTGGGCCCCTCAATATGCTGGGCCTCTCCTCAGGTTCGGCCCTGTTGGCCTACCTAGCAAAGAAATTCCAACAGATGATTATGATTAAAAAGAAACCTCAGGAGAGACAAAGAGGTAGCCTGAGTTAATCTAGGAGAAGATCGAAATCGATAAGATGCCATAACTGTCAAAGTTTCAGTCATGTGAGGAATGAGTGCTCTAGTGCTGAGAGAGTTGAAGAAAATGCTATGAATATTAGCCTCACTGATGACGAGTCTAGCTCGGACAATCAGAGTGAGAAATCTATTTGTGAGAAAAGTGGAAAATATGTTGCCTTTGTTGCTAAGGTTACTAAGTGGATCTGACCAGGGCAGTGAGAGAGATGAGGACATAGTAGTGGTGAGAATTTTGGAGATGAGTCTACAAGTGAGGAAGATATCCAAGAGGCTTATGAAAAAATGCATCAGGAGAGTCTTAAGATTCTTAACAAAAATAAAGCCTCAAGTATGACTGTTAATGTAACGATGTGTTCTTAAATTTTGATGTTATCATGTCTATCTTGATTTGTTGTTATTTTGATTATTGTAGTCATGACTAACTATGTTAGTTGCAGTGGAATGTATTTTAAACGCCTTAAACGATCGATGTGCCTAGTAATTATAAATTTAACATGCATTTATTTTTC